TTGTCATAGCCCTCTCCACGAATATCTCTGAGAATATCTCCACGAACATCTCTGAATGTCACTCGCAAGAGCATCAGAGTAAAACACCTGTCTATTGACTGACAAAGGACTTAAAAATGGCCATGGTTAAAGATCTGATGAGAGTTCATCGTGAGGCCGTTGCCAGGACAATTTGTTTATTTCTGCGGCACGTAACATTCCAAGATAATAACTAGAATTACAAGTGATAACGTTATACCAGGACATGGGGGAGTCTCGGGAATTTCGTGCAATTTCTAGAACGCTTCTTTTAATAACATTCACCCATAACTTATGACCTGAGAGTTTATCATCACTGATTCAACGGTGCCTCCCACGTAATTTAACATACCCCATGAAAAGCCTAATTCGTGTAGCCTCTCTTTGTTCCTTCTGTCGGCCAGCTGTTGCGGGCAGTTTTAGTTACCTGCTGGGGTGTTTACATTTCAAAGGCACGGTAAGATTTGCATCTTCAGGGGACCGAGAAAGGAAACACAAGCTTTTCCCTAGGAGTTTCTTGCCTTTTGGATGGTTTTGACCGTTCCAATCAAGATGTGGTAGTGCCATGCTGTGATTAGGGGGAGCGCCCTGCAAGGACTCCTTCTCTGGGCGTGGGTCAAACGGGGGCCTCTTCAGGGTAGGAAAAAAGAAGGGTTGGGGTCGAGGAATTAGTAAACCCATTGGACCTTCCCAGTTTCGCCTATCAGGAGATGGGCTCATCTTAATGTTTTCCATTCCCCGGGAGCCTTAGCTGTGATCACTGTGATGTCACGATGGGCATAGAGCCAGGCAGCAAATCTCCCAAGTCTGGAAGGAGGTCCTAGTATAAGTTGGTAGCTCTGGGAACCTTTGCCTTCCCAGTTCCCTCTTCCTCCTCGTTAGCGGCCCTGGTAATCCTCTCAGGGGATTCCACTGGTGGCAGGGGCTGTATTTCTTGGTTCTGCCCTGTTCAGGGGAAAGTTGAGGGAGCTTAGGGTCTGTGGTATCTGGGCGGAAACAAGCATAGAGGCCTGGATGGATCTTTAAGAAATTTAATGGATTGTAGGGTCTTGAGAGATACCAGCCGGTTGATGTATTTGGCAGCTGTGAGTGACAATTCAGAGCCTGTTCCAAACCATCAAAAACCCACAATTAGCCAGTTGATTCCCCTCTCTCCTTCCTGCATAAAATCTTCAAGGAAGGGGGGCGCCTGGGTGGCGCAGTCGGTTAAGCGGCCGACTTC